AACTCAGCATATTTGACAGCTTTCCATCCTATATACTGAAAAAGTATTCTAGTGTGCTGCTAGTTTTATATACTAATTTATGTTTATTTAATAATATTCTTTATAATCCTGTAGTGCTGAGAAACAAAAACATGGACTAGGTATGAATGTATGTCATTCTAAACCTTTAGTTGATTCATAAATAACCATTCTAAAGTTAATAAGATATTCTCACTAATACTATTGGTTTAGAGAGTAGCTAGTAGCTTTAAATTTCTGGATGTATTTTGTAGTGCTGTATTTTATACAAAAGAATAAAAATTAACTTTCCAACATGGTCCCTGTGGGGTAGAGATTAGCCACAAAGAAGCCAAATTTAATGACAGTTGCTTAAGATTAAAGTTAAAAAGGAAAACTCGAGTCAAGAACTAACTTCTTCCTAATGTTCTCATTGTGATGCTACTGACTCATTCATTATTCAGTTTGAGTAAATCACTTAAATTTTTTGTGACTTAGATTCATAGATTATGAAATGGGGCTAATTTAATGATCCTATTTAATAGCTCTAGTAGAACTTAAAAGAAATAGTTGTTTTTATTCCAAATAAGTAGATTGTCATCTTTAAACTACTAACTGTGAAGCGATGTATTTTTTTTTTCTATATAAAAGTGGTTTTTATGACAGGTTCGATAAATGTGAAGTATTTTGGTCTCTGTACCACCCATGGAAGATTGTTTTTCTCTGCACAGTAGTGCAGTTCTCTACAGAATTATTGAGGAAATGGGGTTCATTTTGTGGTGCCTTCCCTGTCTCAAGACCTCACCTTCTTACACCTCCCTCTCCCCATTAAGCCAAGTGAGCAGAGGCCAGGGCTTGGCACTTGATGGATCAAAAGTTGCCCATTTCTGATCTAAAGTAGTGAGAAATCCAGTCTGACGAAATGAAACATCATTTTATTCATACAGGAAGTAACTATGCCTTGGAAATGTTCAGGACTTAATAATTAGCAAAGCTTGTGTAGCTTTGTGTGTGGGCCAATGTACTAGCAACACAGCAACAAAACAGAGGTGTGAGAATTTCAGTCTTATCCAAAGTGGTTAAAATAGGGCAGTAACAGAAAACAAGGCTTTTATTTCCAAGCAAGGAATGGCAATGAGCTTAGAGCTTAATTATATGTGTTTAAGACACAGTCACATGTTTCATGTTTAAGAATGGTTTCTCATGTTAAATAAGTTAGTTCCCTATGTACCTTCTCCTTGAGGCATGGGCCAGATGGATTATGTCCCATTTTACAATGACTGATGGAGAATTACTACACTCTTTTATTGCTAAAAATGTCTCAGTGACTCAGTACTTTAGGGCTTATGCATAGATAATGTGATAAAATAAAGGCATATGGTAGATGAAAGGGTTTCACTCTCTTTGAGGTCTGATTTTCAGATTTTTCAATTGGTAACTTTCCCATGGTTTGAAATCCTGACCCTAATTCACATTTTAAAAATATCTATCTCAATATTTTCTCTAAAAAGGCAAAATGAAGGTGATTTGGAACCTTCAATATTTGCTTGATTAAATATTATTTTTTTGCCTTCTATTTATGAGGCAAGTTTCTGATAGTGGGTAGAAAAATTATAGTTTTTCCTCTTTAAGATTTTATTGTTGACTTATGAAGGAAAAAGTATTATAAAATACTGATAAATTATATAGGCAGGGATGTTGCAGATGTTAAGAGAAGACTTCTAACTGAGATTCTCTGGGAATATTGGGCAGCGGGGTGGAGGGGGACTCAGGAAATGGAACTTCCATGAGCCTTGTAGACAGAAAACTATGAGTAAGACTGAAGAAAGAGACATTTCACTGGTTGATGGTCATAGAAGCAGGGTCTTGCCTGGCATGATGAAGGGACAGTGAGTAACCTATAGCATAGTGCCTAAGAGGACTGACTCTGGAGCCAAACTGCCTGGGTTCAGGATTGACCTTTATTTGCTACATGACCTTGGGCCAGTTTCTTAATTATTCTTTGCCTCAAATAGAATTTTTAAAATTATGCTAATCTTGCCTGAATTCATGGAGCTGTGCCTTCAAATAGTGATGGCTCAAATTAAATATTAAATAAGTATAATAGGTATGATGACAGACAGGGATGTGAGTGGGCATAGATGATAAGGTTGTAAAGAAGATTGGAGTGAGTTCCTTGAAGGACTGGACTAACAAGACTGAATAAGCAAGAAACCATGATAAAAATAGTATATTTGGAAAAATAGTCTAGCAGAGAAGGTTGAAAAGAGATTGGCAGCAGAGAGTCTAGTTAGGAGATTTGTGATTGTCCAGACTTGAGGGATTCAGTACTGGGACTCACATGATAGCCCAGGAGTTTGGATTGAAAAGAAGGGACAGACCTTGGGAGCACTTACAGTCAAACACTTGTTAAGGTCTGAGGACTGTCAGGCACACAGGAGACAGAGGGGTGTGCCTGAGTAAATGGGAGAATTCAAACATACAGGAAGGACTTCTTAGGAAGAGCTGGTAATGGATGTAAAAAGATCAAACCCATTTTGAATGTCTTGAATTTAAAGACAAGAACAGGATTTGGCATTGAAAATGCTTATCTGTTGCTCTAAGGGAAGTAGGGTCTGGATATAGAAATGGAAGACCCACAGAAGAGCAAATTGTGCAAGTGAATGAGGTAACAAGGAAGAGCATGTATACAGTAATTTTCTTTCCCATTTCTATAAGATAAAGTGTGAATCTAAGGGAATGAAAACATGTTCTATCCCAGTTGAGTCACTTGAAACAAGGGCAATAGTAAAGCTTGCTGTCCTATAAAGTGCCATTTCGCAGCTCAAGTGCCAGATGCATATGTGCTAAGTATTATTAAAGCTGGGTTTCTGGATCTGTAATTGCACATCATTGCAAACAGGCTTTATTCTGGTAAGGGAGAGTAATCCTTTCAGTTATCCTAATTAACCATCTAATTCTAACCACACCTGTAGTATGAATCCTGTCAATACAGACACATGCAGTTAATTTATATTATTATTTATTATAAACAAAAGTTGTCCTTTAAGATTTTATTTATTTATTCATGAGAGACACAGAGAGAGAGGGGTAGAGACACAGGCAGAGGGAGAAGCAGGCTCCATGCAGGAAGCCCGATGCGGTACTCGATCCCAGGACTCCAGAATCACACCCTGCACCGAAGGCAGGCGCTAAACCGCTGAGCCACCCAGGGATCCCCTGTCCTTTCTTTTCTACTTCATTGTAATTGCCTGTGGGTAAGGAGCAGGCTGCCTGTTCATTTCATTCCCTCACAGATATCGCATTCATTCATTTATGTATTGATTCCAGTTCATTAATTTATTCATTTGTTCCTTCATTCTAGATACTGTATTAGTTGCTAGGGTGAGGAATAAGGCATAATTCCTGCTCTTAGGGAGCTTAACTATTTAGTTGGGGAAGAAAAGACATAGATATATGAAGTAGAAACAATAATAAAGTCATTCACAGAAAATTATGGTAATGTGAAAGAGAAACATTCAATCTGGATTATGTGGCATAGGCAGTGGGGGAGAGGTACTTCAGGGAAGATTTTTGGAGCAGTTGACTTCTGGGCTAAATCTTAAATGATATATAGTGGTTACTAGGTACACAGAAGAGGAGAGAAATGATAGTGAAGACAGCCTGTGCTTATTAGACTCACAGGAAAATGTGAAGCCTTTGATATTGCTGCAGCATGAAAACAGGCAGAGTGATGAGAGGTGAGGCTGTAAAGCAGGCATAGAGCCCTGGAGGGATCTGGATGCAGTGCTTAGAAGCATGGAATACATTCAGTGGTCAGAAATGAGGGGGATCCTTGATGTGGCCTATACAGCATTGTGATCTGATAAGATTTCAGTTCTGGGTGGCAGTTGGGAAGAGCCTTTAAGAAAGACAAGACGGGGATGCATGGGTGGCTTAGTGGTTGAGCGACTTCATTTGGCTCAGGGTGTGATCCCGGAATCCCAGGATCAAGTCCCACATCAGGCTCCCTGCATGGAGCCTGCTTCTCCCTCTGCCTGTGTCTGCCTCTCTCTTCTCTCTGTCCCTCGTGAATAAATAAATAAAATTTTAGGGGATCCCTGGGTGAGGCTCAGCGGTTTGATGCCTGCCTTTGGCCCAGGGCGCAATCCTGGAGTCCCGGGATCGAGTCCCACATCAGGCCCCCGGCATGGAACCTGCTTCTCCCTCTGCCTGTGTCTCTGCCTGCCTCTCTCTCTCTCTCTCTCTCTCTCTCTCTGTCATGAATAAATAAATAAGTAAATTTTATAAATAAATAAATAAATAAATAAATAAATAAATAAATAAATAAAATCTTTAAAAAAGAAAAGATATAAGACATTTTGGCAATTAGCAAGACAGTTAGGACCTCAATCAGGACAGTATTGTAGGAGTAGAGATGAGTGGGAAAAATCAAGAAGTATTTGTTATATAAAATCAGCAGTACCCAATATAGCGGAAAGGTCCTAGGATGGTTTTTAGGTAGTTACCATATACTACTGGGTAATTAGAAAATACAGGGAGAGAGAGGATACAGTGAGTTCATTTTTATTTTTGTTATCTTCAACACATTAAGATTTTTAATACTCCTCTGATGTATTTGGAATTAAATCTATTGATGGTTAGCAGAGATGTCTAGATGACTAGAACTACCTCGCTGTCAATATTCACCTTAACTGTATCTCTTCTTGGAAGCAGAGGCGACTCTACTTTTCCTACAATAAATACCCTGTGCATTCATAGCTCTTTAAATGCATTCATCTGTCATAACTCTTTCACTGTGTTGTAATCCTTGATTTTCTTTTTTGTTTATTTCTGTAGTCACAGTCCAGTGTTTGATACATAACCTCTCCGTATATGTGAGCAAATAAATCAGTAGATTTTGTTTGGTTATTATTTCTAATAACCAACGTATTATTTGGTTATTAGAAAAAGTCTATATTTGGCTTATTCCCCATCTAATTCTTCTATGTCTTAACTCCTAGTGCTTTCCCCTGGAAGAATCTCAAACAGTGCACCTTCATCAGGAGCAGTAACACCAGCCAACTCAGCTGGGGGACAGCCCCAGCCAGGTGACCAGGATACATTAGTGCAAAGAGCTGAGCACATTCCAGCAGGGAAACGAACTCCAATGTGTGCCCATTGTAACCAGGTCATCAGGTTGGTTATTCATTTTTGAAATTTTTTTGAAAGTACTTAATACCAATGTTGATTTTTTTTAGTATTCTGAAAGATTTGAAATTTTATTAGTGAGATTATTCTTAGTATATTTCTATGTAATAGTTATTGAAGTAGATAAATTGGAATATATATATTAGAATCTATCACAATGAAAAGTAATTCTGGACTCGGTGAAAATAAAACTAAAAATACCAATTTTCTGAGTTATTAATTCTTACTAGAACTAAGAAAAATAATTATTAATGTGGCCTTTCAGAGAATAATAAAATTTAAGACTTAGAGGGACCCTGAAGATCATTTATCTGAACTTCAATCTTTTACAAATTGTAAAAGTGAGGACTTTTCATTTAGATGAAAAATAACTAGTGATATAAAATAAAGAACTTTGAGCCCTAGAGAAAAGAAGATTGGATTTTTGAATACCAAAGCACTGAAAGATATAATTACCTTCAGATATATTCATAAATACTTTTAATTTTAGATTAGGTCATAACCTGCTTCTTTAAAATATCTTTTATCCAAATCTGTTTTATTGTCTCTTAAGTTCTAAGAGGGGAAAAAAGGCCAGAGATCTTAAGTGAGTGAGTGCTCTATATTGACTCTTAATAAACCTTTGAGCATTTCTTAATAAGTGGTTTTTAAAATATTAGGAGGTATAGATAAGAATGTTGATTGCAGGGATTCCACCAACTGAACCTTATTGCCTCCTCTGTGAGTTGCCGTGTTGGCAACTCACAATGATAGTTTGAAATGATTGCTTAGGCACTCTTCTTACTTTTAATTTATGCTGTTTTGAAATAGTTGAAACAGTGGCTTCTTTAAAGTTGAATAAGATTAAGGCTTACTTGCATTTCCCCTAATCTATTATGTAGTCATTACTTAGGATAATGTTTCTACTTAATACTTAAAATGAAGCCCAAAAAGCCTCAGTACTTTATTTAAAAAACCAAATATAAATACTCTTTTCTCTGACCTACTATTAAATAATAAATGTGTCAAGGATACAGCACACAGTACATGATTAAAAATAAAACTGCTTATTTATTTTAAATATTCATTTGTGGGATGCCTGGATGGCTCAGTGGTTGAGCGTCTCCCTCGGCTTGGGTCATGATCCTGGGGTCCTGGGATTGAGTCCCACATCGGGCTCCCTGTGCAGAGTTTTCTTCTCCCTCTGCCTGTGTCTCTGCCTACCTCTCTCTGTGTCTCTCATGAATAAATAAATAAAATCAAAAATTAATAAATAAATGTATAACATTTCAAAAATATAGTAAAACAGAAAGCAAAAATAAAAATTCATACATAATTCTACCTTCCAAGATAACCACTAAGAATATCTGAGTTCACACCTTTAAAACCCATGCATATAAGGACTGATGTTATTTTACAGAAATGGAATTATATATATAATATATATTATAATTTATATATTATATATAAAAACATATTATTATATATTATAGATATAAAATATGTTATAAAATATAACAGTATTTTGTAAGCTTTATTTTTCACTTAAATGTGTTTTCCACAGTGAATACCCATTTAATAAGAATTAGCCAGTAGCAGTGGTAGTAGTAAGAAAATCAGTAGTTTTCCAAGTCTAGACAGTAACCAATATACAGAAGGCATTTGTGAATGTTTTACCTGAACAGATCATGCGTGACTCTAGACCCAAGTAGTCAAACCATAATATCAGTTTGGTTAAAGTCACTTTCCTAACAGTGGTACTATAAGGTTACTACCTTACAGAAATACATACATTAATGGACTCTAGAGTGGTACTGCTTTGTTCTAATAATTAAAAGTATGTTTTTAATTAACTGTACTTAGTAGTTTTTTAGAACTAATATTAATAAGGTGGTTAGGGATACTATATTCTGGATAAAAACACCAATAATGGAGACAAGAGTCACTGCTGTTTGTACGTTGTTGTAAGCAGTTACTGGATAGGCTAACAAACTGTCAAATCCTATCAGTTGTTGGTTCATATTGTCTGATTATCAAATTCTGTGATATCCTATAATCAAAAGTACCAATGCATATGAAAACTTAGTATGGAGAAAATACAAAGATCTAACCAGGAAATTACATTCCCACCCCTCCCAACCTGCCTTGGTTTCAGTTTTAATGCTAGGCCAGGATATAATTTTAATGCGCAATCTTTCTGCGATGTGAAATAAATATATATTATGTTAATAAGATAAGTGGCCATCACTTATTGTTCCCTCATCTGTTAAATTTTATATTGCTCTGGATTATCCCAGCGCTGTTATCAGTTAAGCATTAAAGCTTCATTTACTGGGGAAGTTAATAGGAACAGGGATTAGTTCATGTCAAGATCATATAACAGTAATTAACATAGCACATTTGCTTGGTGTTCAGATGCTAATGTAGCTTGAATATACTGTGGTCAGTTCAGAGACCTAGTCAAAGCATAATTCTTGTTCTTGGCCTCAGTGTCAGTATCACTTACCAAAGCAAAGACTCGTTAGATCAAGTGACATTCTCTTAGACACCTGTTTCAAAAACAAGCTGAAGTTCCAGACTTGATATCTTGAATACAGAGTATTGTAACCTGATGAGTTTTGGGAAGTTTAGGATTGTTTTATATTTCTTATTTTCTGCAGTATAATTTATATTATTTCTTTATAATTTGTATTGTTTTTTAATATATTTTCTAAACATCTTGAATTTTAAGAAACATTTTTAAGTAAAAGCAAACTAAGGCAAATTTTATTTTATTTTAATTTTTTTAGCAAAGTTAATTGTTTTTGGAAAACCTCAGAAAAATTACAGAATGTTAGTACTGAACTAGTTATCTCTTATAGAACATATATACCTTAAAACCCCATAGAACATTTTATTTGGATGTAATGCTTAACATTTTTTGGTGTATTTGAACTTTGAAAAGAGTTATGAATGTTGTACCTAAATAGGCATTACTTTGATTAGTTAATGGCCTTTTACACTTGGATAAGAAATTCTGCTGAGGCTTTGATTAAGTTTGCCCTGGAACATTTGCAATCCATTTATGATAGAAGTACCATTTCTTTGATTCTTTTACTCGTGAATTGATTGACAGTTGGGTGCTGGTATATTAAGGAAACAAAATCGGTTAATGTAGCCAAAACCACATTTTAGTTTTTCTGATAGAAGGAGTTTATGAAAACTCTATAGTTTATTTCTTGACTATTATATTTGGTGGCATTAAAATCTGTTCACTACTTGTATTACCTGGCGTTGACTAAACCATTCACTTTTAGCTTATCATCTTTGTGAAAGAAGTACAGGATTTATAGTGCTTGAATTTCTTCTTAGTTATGGAATGCTTTAAAGAAATAGCCACAGTGCTATTGTTCTGTATTTGCCTGCAATATAGCACCAGAACAATTACGTTAAGGCAACCCATTGTTTAATCCAGTGAGAGAGAGGTTTTTAACATTACTGGTCTGATTCTTGCTCAGTGATTTTCAAACTTTCCTCATACCAAGCCATCTCAGTCACCCCAAGGAGAGGTCAGCAGGGGTTTTTGCTTGTTTCACTGGGCATTTCAATCTCTCAGTGGTCCCTTATTAGTAGATTTTATTCTTTCTCCCTTTTGGTTAAAATTTCACTTGAAAATAGAAAGTTTCCTGGTTGTGATGCATTAGCCCCTGAATTTAAGGAAATAGCCAAAGATAAGACCAAGTTTTATGAGCAAGACAATATAGACCAAGATTTCAGATTTACTATAGTGAAAAATTGGAATGAACACAGATGTTCAGCATCTAATACTATGGTGCCATTAAGATCCTGGTTTTGGATAATAATAATTGTTTAATGTGTTCTTAGCATATGTCAAGTATTGGCTAAGAATTTTACTGAATTCCCATTTAATTCTTTATAAGCTTGTGAGACAGTTACTAAAATTGCCTCAATTTTGTAGAAGAGAAAACTGAGGCACAGAGAAGTCACATATTTGCCTGAAGTTACATGGTTGATAAATGGTAAGACCTAAATTTGAGCTCTGATCTAACTTTGAATTTTATTCATGTTTTAACTGTTATTTAGGAAAATGTTTGTAGTATTTTATAAAGACTAAAAAAGAAATATATTTTTAAGTATGATTCTAATTTTGTATAAATAAAATATACTTCAAGGTATATTAACGTATGAATATATAACTGTTATGAATACATATACATATAGTCATATATGTTACTGTATTAAATCAAGAGAAAAACAGCTTAAGCAGACCTGCCATAACTGGAGTGCAGCAGTGTACTTCTTCATAGTGTTTTAGTATATAAGTGAGACAGAAGGGAGTAAATAATAGATTGAATAATTAAAAATTCTTACCTCCCCATCAGAATGACTTTGTACCACATACATGCATTCTTAGACTCATGGATGACCCAGGGTTCACTTTTCCAGTTTCTTATCTAATGTAGAAATGTAGTCATTCTATAAGTAACACTCATTAAGTATTTTGTGTACCATCCCCTTTCAGCACCAGTGATACAGAAGTAAAAGACATAGTCCCTTCCCTTAAGGAAGTTACTGTTACAGACCAGATTGTATCCCCACCAAATTCACATATTGAAATCATAACCCCTAATACCTCAGAATGTGATTATCTTTTTGGAGATAGGGTCTTTTAGGAGGTAGGGTCTTTTAGGAGGTAAAATTAGGTCATTACAGTGGGCCATAATCCAGTATGATTGGTGTTCTTATAAGAAGAGATTTGAACACAGAGAGATATATGGGGGAAGACCATGCGAAGACATGTGGAGAATATGGCCATCTATAAGCCAAGGAGAAAGACCTTAGAAAAGAGGAACCCTGCCAACACCTTGATTGTCTAACACTAGTTGAATAAATCTGGGCTCAAATTTAGGTTGTACCATTTATTATCTGTGTGACTTCTAACTTCCAAAATTTGAAAAAATAAATTTGAGTTGTTTAAGCCACCAAATTTGTGTTACTTTAAGGTGGTC